CCCTCTACTCTAACTCAAAGAACCCTCTTTCAACACACACACAAAATACCTTCTCCACCCCCAAAAAAGGCCAACCCTTTCCTCTAAACTAAAAAAAAGGCCACCCAAAAAAACTTTGTAAAATGCCCTAAACTATTTGAACCAAAACATCTTGTCACTGTTGGATGCCTTCGTGATTGGAAATTTGCAGGTATACTCGCCTCTGTTAGTTTTCGTGCCAAGCGGTTGTGGTGTGCCCTCGTTTATTGTTTCCTCCGCTCCTCGACCAAGTCATTGGTCGTGTGTGTTATAGACAGGTGGGCATAGATGCTACTACTCTTACGCAATGGGCATGTGAGTGGTGATATGGTTGTGTGTGTCGGCATGCTCCGTGCTACATACATCAAACTGTCGAGCCACACTCCTCTTTAATATATCCCCTTATGGTCTTCGAACCCAATTAGTGCAATTGGGGTCCTATGTTGAATACCTAAATCGATGGAATTTCGGATGTCTTTTCATCCCTCTTCCATCATATGACCTTGTGTCTACATGGTAGACTTAAGTCGTGTCCGGCGTCCGGTGTGTGCATTTTGTGAATAATCGGCCACATCGGTGCATCGGTGCTCGATCATTCTTTAAGATGCGAAACAAACTTTCTTACAGAAATACCCGTAGAAGTACTCCCACCATTCGTCTTGATGGATTAATAATATCAAACACTTGGTGATCAACTTGGCTATGATACCAAATGACATAAATATGAACGAACACTCAAAATATAAATAAATATGAATTTTATTACTCAATCACACAAGATAATACAAGGAACAAAAATTGAAGTGTTGTAAATAAACTAATAATAAGACTCTATTTAAACTAAAAGAAATCTCCTAAAATATAATTACTAATTTTATTGAGAGTAATTAATGTACTCCTTTTATTTACACAAAACAAGTAACATAATATACTAAATGATGATTGACTCCTAAAATAAATGATATAACCAAATCTAAATAACAAGTTGCACTAACTTGTTTTTTAAAAATCAAATATAAATTTGAAAATTGTATTATGTTAAAATTAATGACAAAAAGTTACACTAACTTTTTAAAATATATCTCAAGTCATTCAATTATAACAAATGAGCAACTTGATTATAACAAAATTGTAATTGACTTCCAATATATTTTTTCCTTCCATACACGAAAATTTTATATTAACATGATTTCGGCCTCATTTAATATTACATTTAAAAAGTGTTTTCGGAGTTAAATATATATTTGAAGTTATAAGTAATAATGAATAAATAAATTATTTTCTTTTCAGGCCAAATATAAAAATTAAAAATATTAACTTTTTGTGTTTAAAAAATGTTTTTGGAGTTAAAATTATAGTTTTAATATTCATTTGTTATCATGTGATATGTATATTTTACGATTTATAAACTTATAATTTTTTATCAAAATATAATTATAAAGAGTAAAGTACATCAATGGTCCCCCGACTATAGGGTGATGCTTTGCTGAGTCAATCAATTATTAAAAGTTATAAAATGGTCACCTAATTATTCATATGTTCCAAACTCATCCTTTGTCGTTAAAAAAATTATGGTCATCTAAGTTGGAAGTTAATATGTTAACAGTGATATGATAAAATTTGATCCAAAAGTCGTTTGAATTGTATAGTCTTTTGAGATTCCGATATCAAAATTTATCATATCTCAGTCAGCAAGTTAACGTCAAGCTTAGATGACCATAAATTTTTTAACAAAAAAAGATGAGTTTGAAACATATGAATAGTCAAGTGATCATTTTGTAACCATTAATAGTCCATGGACTGAACAAAGCATCAACCTATAGTTAGGAGACTATTTTGTAATTTTTAATAGTTGAAAGACTCAATAAAATAATAACCTATAATTAAGGGATTATTTGTGTACTTTTCCCAATTATAAAATTACTAAAGTACATGTGAGTTTAAAAATTTATATCTCGTCATTCTTATTTTTAGATAAAAGTTATTTTTAAAATTTTATATATTTTCATAAGATATGTAGGATCATTATAAATTTATTTATTTTTAATATTTTTTGTATATTTATCATAATCTAAACTAATATATTTTATATATTATAATATTAAAAAATAAATATTATTTAAATATATATTTATTAAATTATAATATTATATTTAAAATAATCATTTATCTTTTTAAATATATTTTAACATCATTACTTACAGTTAAAATCTTAATTCAATATTTTTTAAATTCATTTTTAAAATTAGTTTCTTACTACATTTCTTACCATACTTTTTAAAAATAAAATAAAATCATTCTTAAAATATTTTTATAAAAAATCTAGCATTTAACATTCTAATGTTAATTATAATGGTGCTTAATAAGTTGAGCAACTCATGAGCTGTTCAAATTCAACTCAATAAAAACTCGATTAATATTCAATTTAGGTTGTCTCGACTTAAATTTGAGCTCAATTTGGTACTTTAACAAGTCGAGTCAAACAAGGTCTAACTCGACTCAACAAATTTGCAAGCCGTTCATCATTTTTTTATAATTCTTTATTAGTTACCTTAAAGAGGGTAAATTATGCATTTAGTGACTAAACTATCCATTTTGGTACTTAAACTTTCAATTTTTTCAATATCATGCCTAAAGTTTAGTTTTTGTTTCATTTTAGTATTTCGCCGTTAAAAACTTTATTTTTGTTTCATTTTCGTACCCCTTTCAAAATTTAACGTTAAGTTTTGAAAAAATATTAAAAGTTTAGGTATCAAAATGGACTAAAGTTGATAGTTTATGCACTAAACCATTAAGTTTTTAACAAAACCCTAAACCTTAAACTATCAATTTTGGCACCTAAACTTTCAATTTTTTCAAAACCATAACTAAAGTTTAGTTTTTGTTTCATTTAGTACCCCGTTCAAAATTTAAAGTTAAGTTTTAGAAAAAAAAAATTGAAAGTTTAGGTATTAAAATAGAATAAAGCTGATAATTTATGTATTAAATGCGTTAAGTTTTTAATAACATGGTACTAAAATGAAATGAAAACTAAACGTTAGGTATGATTTTGAAAAAATTGAAAGTTTAGATATTAAAACGGATCAAAACTAATAGTTTAGACATTAAATACGTAGAGTTTACCCAAAAATATTTTATTCAAGAAAGAAAGACTCAATAATAATTACTGATTTGCTAATAGATAATAAGAAAGATGATAAATCACTAATTAAATATCATTATTAATTTATTACTATTTTTTAATAAATAATAAAAATTGAATTATTAATTAACACTTATTATTTACTACACCAAAAATATTAAACCCTAATTGCTCTATCTAAAAATTTTTGTGAGCTTAACGAGTGAGTCGAGTAACAAATTTTTTTTAACGAGCACAAGTCGAGTAAAATTTTAACGAATTTAATGAACAATGAGTCGAGTCAAATAATAAAATATTTTTTCTTACACGAGTCGAGCATTGTCCAACTCACGATTGACTCACTCGACAAGCCTCCTAATTAATTATCTGAACTAATATAATAATAATATAAAATAGTAATAAAATTGCATCAAATTAAATCATAAAATTAATATATTATATATATTATAGTATTAAAAAATTTAAATATTATTTTAATATATATTTATTAAATTAAAACATTATATTTAAAATAATCATTCATCTTTTTAGATATATATTCTAACATCATTACTTACAATTAGAATCTTAATTCAAAATTTTTAAATTCATTTTTTTAAAAATAGTTCTTATTACATTTCTTAACATACTTTTTAAAAATAAAATGAAATCAGCATTAAAATATTCTTCTAGAAAATCTAACATTCAACATAGTAGTTTGAATGGTTAACAATATTAATTATAAGGGTGATTAATGAGTTGAACAACTCGTGAGTTGTTTAAATTTGATTCGATGAAAATTTGATCAATATTCGACTTATGTTGATTCGACTTAAATTTGAGCTTGACTCGAGATTTTAACGAGTCGAACAAAGTCTAACTCAACTCGATAAGCTTACAAGTAGTTCATCATTTTTTATATTTTTTAGTAGTTACCTTAAAAAATATTTCATTCATTCAAGAAAGATTAAATAATAATTATTGATTTGCTAATAGATAATAAAAAAGATGGATAAATCAGTAATCAACAATAACTATTAATATTATTGGTTTATTCATTTTTAAAAAAATAATTAAGAAATTTTCAAATTATTAATTACCTCTATTTAATTTACTACACAAAAAAAATAAACCTTAATTATTCTATCTAAAAATTTTGGTAAGTTTAAAATGTGAGTCAAGCAATAAATTTTTTTAACGAACAGGGATCAAATAAAATATTAACGAGCTTAATGAACATTGAGTCAAGTGAAACAATAAAATATTTTATCTAACACGATTCGTACACTGTCCAACTCACGATTGACTCATTCGATAAGCCTCCTAATTAATTGTCTAAATTAATATAATAATTAAACGTAAATCTAAGTACAGTTGACCGACTTCGAAAGGAGTTTGGCTTTGAGGAGGAACACGAATCTATTTAGCGCTGATTGTATATGACGTTCTCTCGATATAATGGACAAATTCCACGTCAGCAATTAATAAAAAAATGGTTTGAGTACAAGCAACCTGACCCAAGTCCCTACCCCACGCGCCAACTTGCTTCCTTTAAAACTTAACTAATGGTGGCAGGGGTATGCATGTAATTTTCCGTAAAACCGAGGCGATTATCGTCATAAAGGTATCGAAATTGCTGCCCATTTCCTTAACCAATGGCGAACTGGGTTTCTATAATTATGAAATCGTCATCCAATTCGCCATGCGAGTTTCCCAAGGTTGCACCTGTCCGCATCTGATGACTTCACCTAGCCGGCCAATACACGTGGCTGGCAACCTTTGACTCCACGATTCTTACACTACAATATATATATTTATTAAGTAAATATTTTATTACTGGAAAAAGCTAATACGATAAGCGACCATCTGGGTATTAAACAAACTATGCTGTAATTATCAAAAGGCTAAAACCAAATACTTTGTTACTTCCATCTCCGACGAGTCACCGATGACTGATTCAATGGCTGGGGATGACTCAGTAGCGAATCTCTACCGAGCCTTAGTGGATCGGTGCTTGAGTTTGGAAGCGAGTCACGCTAAGTTGAGGGAAGAATTTGACGAGATTGCGCAGCAAGATAAAAGAAGCGATGAAGAGGACAAGCTGGCGTCAGATTCAGGCGATTCCACGACATATCCCGTTGCTTTCACGTTTCCCGGATACTTCTCCACCGGAAGCCCTTTTAGGAACGTGTTGGAATCCATTGGACATGCTATTCATGTCTCTTCAGCTACTTCGGGGAGGATTACATTTTGGTATATACCTAAAACTCATCTCTTTCTCTCTTGTTTTCCTTTTTTATAATTGATCCTTTGAGTAGTTCCTATGGTTCTTTTGAAAAGACTGAATCTCGTTTCTGGGTGTTTTTGGTTGCTGAAATGATGAAACAGTTGCTTGTATGCAGTTGGTATAGATTTTAAAAAGCTCTTTTTGCTGTATAAAGTGGCAGAGGTTAGAATTTTGAAGTTGGGTTGGGTAAGTTACTAAGTATAGACCATGCTTGAAATGGATGGATTAGCAGTAATGCTGACTTTTAATGAAATTTACAAATCTATGAGATTGTTAATGTAAAGAAGAACGAAGCATTAGATTTGACTTCTTTTGTATTCGTTTGTAGTATTCTTGTTGTAGTGTCATTAAGATGTTTGATAGAAGTTCATATACAATTATGAGCACTCCTTTTTGTTTTTGTTTTCTTTTAACGTTTTAGAGTGAGTCAATCTTCAAAACGAATGGCTCTGCTTTATTTTCATATGGCAGGAAATTTTATTGGCATGAGTTATTTTCAATATTTATTTTCTACAACTGCTAGTCTAAATTTTCCCAAACTATCAGAACCACATAAATATCTTGTCATCAACTTTTCTTCAGAATTTCCATAATTAGTAGTCCGAAGAGTTGCACACTTTTGAACAAGAAACATGATAGTCTACATATGCTTCCTATTTTAGCCTAATTTTTAAAGTGGTTAGTTGGCTTAATGTGCATCTTTTTAATATGAAACATGGTTTCACCTACATCTATTCCTGCATTTCGTGTTTGCAGATGCATCTACCTATATTTAGTAACTTGAAAATTAGGTAATGATGGTGATGGAGAAGGGGGATTGCCGTTTGTCATACATTGTTATATATATATATTTGCAAGAATTTCATAACTGATAATTAGTTATGTGTTTTAGAAGTAGGACATAGTTCAGAACTATTCCCCCCAAGTTAGCTACCTGCAAAGAATGTGATACACTGATAACATGTGTTTTACCGCAGTTCATTTGTATTCTTCTCTATTTTGATAGATATGTGTATTCAACTGAAAACTCGTTAGACAGTTTTATTCCTGTGGAACGCTGAGAAGAGTCTCAATTTATATATATGTATTGAGGACTATGGTAAAATATTTCAGCTCTGACTTTGGAAACTTGATACTTATAATTGTTGCTTGTCTCTCAAGTTATATTGTATGGAGGCTACAAAAACAAGTTCAGTATACTCATTACTGTTCACTTGATTAAAATTGAATATAATGATGAGCCACTCGTTTGAGATCATTTATGTATGCTTTGTTTCTGAGAAAATGCATCTTAGAACTCTGTCAATATTTCTTGCCATTAAGATTGAAGAAAGCTTCTTTCTTTTTTACCGAACCCTTTGATCACGTGTTCATTAAATCTCACATCACTTTCAAGTTGTGCAGCTGATAAAGAAAAGGGTTCTCTTACCACAGGAATCGCTCAGCTGAAAATCTTTTTGGATGGAAGTCCAACGAAGTCTTGGGACTAAGAGATACAACACTTCTAATAGCTGAAGAATATCATGCACCCCTTAAAGTTATTATGGAGAAGTTGATTTCTGGGCAATCATGGTCAGGTCAATTCCCTTTCAAGAGGAGGTCAGGTGAAATTTTTATGGCTTTGGTGACCAAAAGTCCCTTGTACGAAGGTGGTCGGCTTACTGGTGTGGTGACAGTTTCAAGTGATGCGTCCATTTTTAATGGTATAAATTCAGAGAATTCGGGAACTTATCAGGATCATAATAGACCAAGGAGGTTAAAGTCTAAAAACATACAGTGGCATCCACCACGGCCACAAATTGCATCATCTGTTTCTAATCTGGTGCTTATGTATAGCATTACTACAGTTTTGCCATTCTTTCGCTTCTTTCCATTTCTGGTTCTATTTTCAGTTTCTAAAACGCTTAACATTGTGTATTGTCAAAACACCCAGGCTTCAAGATTTCTACTCAAGAAACAAGATGGTTTAAGCAATTCATGTAATAAGTCAAGGGAACAAGAGGATGGTGCAACAAGCACAGAAGACAAGTTAGAGGCTTGTGATACAGCTGTAAGACTTCATTCTGAGATTGTTCGTCATCTGGTTCTATATATATTTAAATCAGAATCTAACAGGTTCTTTTTTCCTTCCTCCTGTATTATTCAAGGAAGGTGAATTTATCTCAAATTTTCATGAGTGGAGTAACACAACCGAAAGAATAAGCTCTCAAAAGGATGAAAATGCATTCGATCGTGCTCAACCTTCAAAAATTGTATAGTCATCCTTTCAGCTTGGTTTGTTATAAGCTATTGCAACCTAATATTTGAATGATAATTTTGGGATCTTGTAGTTTGTAGTTACTAAATTGCGTTGAATATAACTAATTGATGAGAAGTTGAGAACTCTATTAAAACCTGTAGTGTAGACTTTATCATCTTAACATCCTACTGAAGATTGCACTGAGTTAAGAATTCTGCCTCTGTTTACATCTTCTTCATACACGTAGGTTAAACTTGTGGTGAAATCATTGTAGGCTGCAAAAGTCTTGGCAAAACTGCACATCAGGGGACCTAGAAACCACAGCAACGATGATGATGAATGTCTTCAGAGAAAGGATACAACTAGTAGACTGGCAACAAATGATGTGGCAGATGAACATAATGTTTCTAGAGGTTTGAAGGCATCAACTAAGAATCACTTTAGTGTTGAAAAGCACACAAGTCCAACGCCTTTTGTAGATTCTTCAAGAGAGTGCAATGGGAAGTTTTCAGTAACTCAAATGGGAGAATCTACCGCAGGATTAGTGTGCCGAGTAAATGAAAATGGGTTGGAGCCAGAGTTCCTAAATATGGATGCATCAGAAGTGGAACATGAATTACAAAAGCAAACAGACTGCAAAAGCTTATCAAGTGTAGGGGAAAGCATAGGAAGCCAAGAAAGTCAATCAAGCAAAGGGGATAATGAGTCAAACTCTATGGTTGATTGTGAGATTCACTGGGAAGACCTACATTTAGGGGAGGAGATTGGACAAGGTAAACAATTGGGTTTTGAGTTTTGACATGCATGGATGCATGCCTGCTGTTGTGCTTGAAAAACAGAGTTTGATTGGTAGGAATTGGATTCTTGCACTATTTTATAGACTTCCTCTGGTTCATGTTTCAAAAAAATTTGGTGATAATACATGCCCGGGTGACAATTACTCGAAATTAAATACTTTTAAAGGTAGTTTAATATTACTTTGTTACATCTTCAGTTCAAAATGATTTTTCTTATAGGTTGGTCAGTACATATACTTCATTGTTGTTTATTGGTTGCACACTGTTGTTACCTTGTTTAATATACGTGAAATGATAGCTTACATGTTATGCTTTAATCTAATATAACCAATCACTTTGTTTGCTTTCCCCTTCAGGCTCGTATGCAGTTATTTATCGCGGAATTTGGAATGGATCAGTAAGTTCTTTTCATTCCTTTGTTTTTCAATTTCTTATATCAAATACTTGTATAAAAATATTTACTAACCTGGACAAATATCATTTTCTTCATGAAGGATGTTGCAGTTAAGGTCTATTTTGCAGGTGAATACAAAGAATCAACATTATCAGACTACAAAAAAGAGGTACTCTCTGAATTTGCTTCGGTTTTCTGATGAAGCAATGTCATGTATGAAATGCTCTGATCCTTGACAGTTCTTTTCTTGCTCCAGATTGATATAATGAGAAAACTAAGACATCCGAATGTTCTGCTGTTCATGGGGGCTGTGTACTCACAAGAACGACTTGCAATCGTCACTGAGTTCTTGCCTAGGTAATGAAAGTTGCTATTTTGTCTAGGGGTACTCGATCAACGATCCTCTGTTAATAATCCCATCTATAGAGAGTGTTTCAGTGTCCTAGTTTATTCTTTTCTCACCATTCTTGTGCTTGGGATGCTGTGTATGGCATAAGTTGCAAAATACTCGTTCCCATTTCTCCATCCGTTCAGATTTTGAAGATCAATTTCCATAGAAGTTCATTGCATACTGGTCCTTTCTTGATGATATGTAGCACTCAATTATCGTTGTTTAATAATCAGGGGAAGCCTTTTCAAAGCACTTCACAAGACTAATCAGGCATTGGACGCTAAAAGGCGCATGAGGATGGCCCTTGATGTTGTGAGTTTTCCGTCTATCTTTGATGCTAGTTAGCCGTCCAATAAAACCTCACACTTCCCTTTTATTTCTGCAGGCTAGAGGCATAAATTACTTGCATCATAGGAATCCTCCAATTGTGCATAGAGACCTGAAGTCTTCCAATCTCTTTGTTGATAGGAATTGGAATGTAAAGGTACCATATGCTGGTCAATATCTTCAAAAAGTACAGGCTTGTTTGAGCATTTTCAGATTGCTTACTGTTCAATTTTGTCTTAGGTTGGAGACTTTGGCCTCTCGAGATGGAAAAATGGAACTTTCTTAACCACAAAGACCGGGAGAGGAACAGTAATGACCGCTTCTAATTCTTTTTCGGTTTCTTCTTTAATAGATCATGTATTTGTGTTTCATATTTGTTGCATCAGAGTTTTATATAGTAACTACTTATCGTACAACTCCATTCGTTACTTTTTGTAATTCCAGCCTCAGTGGATGGCTCCGGAAGTCCTGAGGAATGAACCATCAAATGAGAAGTAATTTCTTGAAAAACTGACATTGATATTTTCACATTAAGATTCAAGTTCTTTTTTCTCAACTGATTCCTGACATCAATCTGAACAGGTCTGATGTATTCAGTTTTGGAGTAATCTTGTGGGAATTGATGACTGTCTCCATTCCATGGAACAACCTCAACTGTTTACAGGTCTTCAACCTGCTTCTTTTTTCTTACATAGTCACATAAATCTCTTTAATATTTTAATCTCTATTTCAAAACCATAATGTAGGTGGTTGGAGTTGTAGGCTTCATGGATAGGCGATTGGAGCTACCCGAAGGCCTTGATCCGCATATACAATCGATTATCCGTGACTGTTGGCAAAGGTACATGTTAATCTGGCTCTATTTCCTACAACATTTTGCAAACATTGAAGCTTAGAAGCAAATGAATGAAGGAAACAAAAACTAACCATTTCTTGTGTTCCATGGCAAACAGTAATCCAGAAAATCGACCATCGTTTGAAGACATAATCAGTAGAATGACTGGCATTGTCCCAAAATCTACCGTAGGATTGGGTCGAAGGAACTCAGAGCCTTGAAGCCGCAATGGGGCTGTAGGACCAATGCCACTCTTTCACTTGATGGGGTAGTTTAGCTGTACTTTAGGCTAATAGAAGTTTTTCTTCAAAACAAAATCAAACGTTCAATACACATACTTAGTTGGTAGATTTGCACTTTACCTCTCCTCCATTTTTGGAAAAGATGAAATAAAAGTAGAGAGGGGAAGGTTATGAGTGTTGAAATGTAATATTTTGGAGCTTCATTTTTTTTCCTTTTCAAAACAAACAAAGCTACAAAAATTATTTAATTGTTATTTTGGATAGTTATTTGTGTATTTGTTTTCAAATGTGTTTGTTCATTTAATGTTTATAAAAACATTTGTTTAACGTTAAAAAAATGTTTATTTAGTATTCGCAAGTATATTCATTTAATGTTTTTTAATATTTACTAACAAACACTATTATTCTATCTTTCTACATGTACATGAAAAATGTCATTAGTCTTTATGTTCTTTAAGTTTATAGTTTGAGCTTTAAATTTTATTTTATAATTAAATAAGTAAGGTTACAAACTATTCAATAAACGAGTTATAAATAAGTTTATTATGAATATAAAATAAATCTATATTTTTATTAGTGTTTATTTATCAAATGAGTATAAAAATTTTGTTCATATTTATTTAAATTATATAACTTAGTTTAGATAAATATTATACTAAACTTTTATGAACAATTTATCTTTGTTTAGATCTATATTAATTATACATTTACGATGATGACCTTTTAGAATATTTTACGTTTGTATGAGCTCAAGTAGATTTGCTACTAAAACAGCCTGTACGTGCGATTCAGCCTGGTTCAGGCCCAATTAACACCATTATTTCTTGTTGGCCTGAAAAACAGACAATTGTAAAATAATATTTTTTAGTAGATGTCGGCAACAAACAAATATATATATATATATATATATATATATATACTGATTGTCTGTATAACAAACAGCGCCAGGGAAATCCAAGATGTCTAATTTATTGTCCCATTTTTAGAGTACAGGACACTCAGACCCTACCTTTACCATTTGAAATGGTTGACGGATGAAGCAAATCATCACACGACTTTGAAAATGATATACTAAATAATATAAAAAATACTCAAAATTAATAAATAAACGTACGAGAGAATGTAAAATTATATTTGAGAATAACGATATTAGAATGTAACATTATTATGGGAATAATATTATTAGAATGTATCATTATTATAGGAATGTTGTATTATTTTGTTTGGTTTGTTTAATAAAAATATAAAATTACAATGTCTGGTTTGAAGAATATAAAATTATTTAAATATATGTTTTACTAAATTATCCCTGTGATATTTTTTTAAAAAAAAGTTAAACTTTAATATTAAATTATAAATATTTGAATGAAAATTCATAGAGATATTTTAGTCGTTATATTATGTAATTTTTGAGAAAAATACATTTAATATATAAATAGTATATTAAACTTATATTTTTAAATAATTTTCATAATCATCATATTTATTTACATAAAATGTAATATAATATGAAAAATAATATTATAATATCGACTAGACAAATATATTATTTTTCAACGTATAAGATCTATTTTTTAATAATTTAAAGTCATATATTATTTTAAATAATTACATTTTTACAATCATATTATTTTTCACCTCATCAAATTATAAATAATTAATATATTGAATATTAAAAATATAAAAATAATTTTAAATGTTCAAATTTATTAATATTTTACTAAATTAAACTCTTTGTATATTATTATTATTATGTTTATAATTTTAAGTAAAGTACAAAAATTAAGAATTGAAAATGATCACTATAAAAAGAATTCATTAGTCTAGGGTTTTCTTGTCCAAAGTTTTGAGAATTGTTTAATACCTCATAATTTGGAGGTAAAGGCATTCCCATTAGGGGTGAGCATTCGATCAAGTCGAGTCAAGTCAAGTCAAAAAATTATGAGTTATTCGAATTGACGAGTCGTATTTTACAACTCAAACTTAACTTGAAAATTTTTCAAGTCGAGTTATTCGAGTTTCTATACTAATTTTATTATAATTATTTATAGTATTATGGCAATGATTTGTTCCAATTTTTTGACTTTATCTAACCATAATATATATATATATATATATATATATTCTTTCATATTATAATGTTATTTAATATATCAAATACAATCTAAAATTATGAATATATTCATAATATTATATTTTAAAGAAAGTATTTTGAGGGTAAAATATTGATGAGAGTATAAATGAGTCAATGAATTGATGAGAATAAAATTTTGCAAACAATTGTAGTCAAAAGACCAAATTGAATAAAATGCAAAGTTAAGGGACTAAATAAAAAACGAGAGTACATATTTAGTAAAAACAAATAACAATTGAAGTTGCATAGGTATTCTATTTTGATATATGAGCATGTGGTTTAAATTTGGTAAAATAGACTTAAAATAAATCATAATTTTGAAGGAATAATGAGATTATGAAAAATTGAAGGACTAAATTAAAAATAAAAAATTTGTTATCATAAAGAGGAATTGAAAGTACACATGTATTCTACTATAGTTTAGGAGCATGAGGCTCAAATTTGATATAAAAAAATGGACTTAAAATAAATGACGAATTGAACAAATAAGGAGATTATGAAAAATTGAAAGACTAAATTGAAAAATAAAAAGTTGTTATCAAAGAAAGGAATTGAAAGTGCACAGTGTATTCTACTATGGTTTAAAAGCATGTGGTTCAAATTTGGTAAAATTTAAACTTAAAATGAAGGAGAAATTGAAGAAATAATGAAATCATAGACTAAATTGTAAAATTATCAAAATACTTAGTCAAATTTTTTGTTTTTCGAGTAACTAAAAATTTCAAAATTTCAAATCAACTCGAACTCAAAAATTGAATTTATAATTCGAGTTAACTAGAATAACTCGACTCGAATAACTCAAAATTAAAAAAAAATCAATTTTTCGAGTCGAGTATAATTTTGCTCTCCCTTAATTCCCACAATTTTAACCAAAAAGTGATACTATTGAAAAAATATTATAACATAGTAATAATCTTTTAAATATGATAATACAATTCCGGAAAAAATTATTTATTTAATAATATTATTTTCCGTGTATCAAAGTCTCCTTAAAAAATTAAGTTTTTGTTTATTACTACTTCTTGTCCATATTATTCAATAATTATTTCAATCATTATCATTAATATTTACGGCTATGATTTATATAATTTTATTTAAATATTATACACTTAAGATAAATGTTGTTGAGATTTGATCGTATATATATATATATGGGTTCACTTATACAATATAAAACTTTTTAATTTTACATAGATTTAAGATCGTTGGATGAGTAAAATAGATGGTCTAGATTGACTCCTTGTTTTTTTCCAAGTGAATATCTTCACATGCCATAATGTTAATCTGGGTCATCTATTTTCACTCATCCAACGATCTTAAATTTGTGTAAAACTAAAATAATTCTACATTTGTAAGTGGATTCTGCCCTTATATATATAATATGAGATAATATGAGTACTTTTTATCAGTTAATCAATTAATGGATTTTAATATGATTTATAAAATTCTATAATAATAATAAATATAGAATAATAATATATTAAATATTAATTCCTAATATGAATGTAATTTATAACTTTAACGAGGGTTGAAAATGAAACAAGATAGATCACAAGTTATTCGAGTTTAATTTGATTAAAGTTTGACTAGCATTCTATTCAAATAGGCTCGAGTTTTTAACAAGTAGAAGCGAGTTTTTTAATACCCAATTCAAAAAATTCACGACTAACTCAAAAGGTAGTATATTATTTTTTTATTTTTAAATTAAATTATCAATAATATTATTATTTATATATTGTTTTATAAAAATTTAATTTAAGTATTTTATGTGCTTAAGGTTCAAGTACGAGTCTACGTTTAAATTGAGTTCGAGTTTGATAATTTTAAGTTCACGAGCTTCTGAGATGAGTTGGGTTCAATTTTGAATTAAATTCAATTCAACAATACTCGAACTCAATTCATATCATTGGCAAGCAAATGTGGAGGTATGCTCCACCATCGCGGTCATCTCCTTCTCATGAACCGAGTACCTCCTCTCAATCTCATTGAGTTTTTGGCTTTCATATGCAACCAGATATCCCTCTTACATCAAGACCCCACCAATGGCAAGATCGGATTCATCGGCGCAAACTTCAAAGGGCTTGGTGTAATCAGGTAACACCAACATCGGTTCATTTACCATGGCTCCCTTGATCTTCTTGAAAGCTTCTTGATACTTTTTGCTTCATTCCCACACCTTGTCATTCTTACGCAACTCGGTTAAAGGTGTGGTGTTCTTGGAATATCACTTCACAAACATTATGTAATAGTTGGCTAATCCTAGGAATGTTCTCAACTTGGACGCCTTGGTGGGTGGCTTACACTCATCAATCGCCTGAACCTTATCCCCATCCATTCAGAGCTTGCCTCCTCCGATAACATGGCCTAGAAAAGATACCTTCTTCTAGGAAAAAGAGCACTTTCTTCCTTCATATAGAGTTTGTTCTCTCGTAAGACTTGGAACACCTTCTTAAATGCTCAACATGTTTTTCAAGAGTCTTAGATACACCACAATATCGTTAAGTTAAACTATATTGAATTGATAAAGAAATGGTTGTAGCACCTTGTTCATCAACGTGCGAAAGGTAGTTTGGTCATTAGTGAGGTCAAAGGGCATCACAAGAAACTCATATGAATCGTAACACGTTACACAACCATTCTTTGACTAAAGGATAAGTCGTTGTTTGGACCGAGTAAATTTCGATAATGAAATTTCTTTTAGGGAGGGGAGAGTTGTAACACCCCAAATTTCAGGCTAGTAGTTTCGGATTTACCCGAGAGGTAAGTGGGCTTTGTGAATTTAATTAATTAAGTTGTTGGGTTTAATTGGGTTGGTTTTGGGGCCCAATTATCCATAAAAGGGGATTTTTAAATAAGGGACAAAATGCAAATGATTAAAAGATCAATTAGACCATTATGGGATTTTGAAGCTAAGGTTTAGGGTTTTATATATTTTGGACGTGGGTTTCATTTCCCATTTATCTTCTCTTCATCTTCTTCTTCATTTCTTCTTCCTTCATCTTCTCTAAGTAACCATAGTT